CCGAACTTTATCTTTACTTTATAAAGTAAAAAATAATGTAAGGAGTATTATTTATTTTTCCTATAAAGAGGCCATAATCATTGTTGTCCGTCAAATTTTACACTAAGTTGTTCTAAATGTATCATTGATTAGACTTAAAGTGGAACAAGAGTGGAATCCCAGTGCCACTTATGCAATGTTGTGGGGGATCAAACTTTCTCTTCATCACCATCGAACTACCGATTGGAATGTGATGAAAGTCTACCTTTCTCTTTATCACCATCCAAAAAAAGAAATGTATCAAATGCCGGTAGGAGCCTTTCTTTCTCCCCAATTTATTAAAAAAACTGGTAAGAGCTTGTCTTTCTCACTTAATTAAAAAAATAAACAAAGTGCATCAAATGCTGTGCAAGGTAACTGAAAAACGAAAAGAAAGAAACATCCTATAAAAATTTGGCAATAATTTTAATAACTACTAATTTTATTAGATAGTGGAGCAAAATATCCATAAGTATAATATAAAGCAAAAAAGTATAATATAAAACAAAAAGAAGAAGAAATAGAATAATACAAGCAGCACTCCCTACTTCCGGGATGACTCGCTTTGACATCCACAAAATAGAAGAAATTGACAATAATTTTAAAAAACAGATGGACAAACCTTATAAAATCCTGCTGTTTAGTTGGTATAAGAGAACAGGTAGAACCAGCACTTGAATCTATCAAACTAGTCATTTTCCAGTTTTGATCGGTTCTTCGAAGATCCCTGTTTAGAGCTTCCAATGGACCGGACAAGTTTTTGATTGCTAGTTCTATCAGTCGGACTACTAATCTTGCCTCGTCTTAATAAATTTGTCAAAATATATAAATTCTTTCCTTTTTTGGTATATTTTTCATATTTTTTGTATTAATTTTTCTTATCCCATCGTTCTTGCTTATTTTTCTGTGTATTTGGTTTTTTTTTTTAATTACTTTTTGTTTAAATCATACTTTGGGCAGTTTGATGCCCATTGACGACCATCATGAGGCAGCCTTGGTTTAGTTGGACTAGGGGCTCAAGTATTATGGTCATTGGAATTTGTAGTAAGGGATCATGATCATAGCGAGCTCAAATAACAATTTAAACCGAACTATGTCAAATCACTGTGCTAAGCTAGAGGTGTTGTTGCCCATGGTTATGTGGATGATAATTAATCTAATCTGCACTTGACTATCTTAATTGAAATTAATATACTGTAGACAATATTATTTTGTTAGTAGTTTGGTACGTATTTTATATAATGTATAATACTCAGTACTTTTTAAAATTATTTCCAGCTATTTCTTGCTAAAAACTTATGAATATCATCAAATTATTCTGAATAAAATAAAAAAAAATTTCAAAAAAATAAACTTATATATAAACTTGCCTATAAGCTTATCATAGGTAACTTTGTAATGAGCACTGTCAAATATCAGATAATTTAGTATAAAAAAAAATTTCAAAAAAATGACCTATAAGCTTATCATAGGTAACTTTGTAATGAGCACTGTCAAATATCAGATAATTTAGTATCAAGATTAATATTATTGAAACAATGAGTTATCTGTAACAATGGATACATCCAAACATACCTAGTGTGGTGCTCCCTTTCTCTCTTGCTGTGTTACTAAAACTTAAAGAGAGAGGAACACATTATTGTATAAACTTATATCTATGAACTGGAAAGATCAGATCCATTTGGCACAAACCAAGTTAGAGGATTAATATGTATGTTTTAGTTCAGAGGTGGCAGCGAGAAGAACTAAAATGGTCTTATTTTTTTTTTTATTTCTCATTGCCTTTTTACATGATGAATTTGACTATTAGTAGTTCTAGAAGATTTTATCATGACCCATAATAATTGATGAAGAGTGATTCCATACTTTGGATGAACATTGACATTAGAAATATTGTAATTTACTAAATTTTAAAATCTTATTTTTTACCAACTTCTCATTGGTCTTCCCAAGTTTCTCTTACTTGGCCGAGAACGACCCGGAAACACGTCAAATTAATGGCAAATGGATGAAGGCATGTAGGAAGGTAGGTTTTTCAAGCGCAAATTATTGGGACTTCTAAGGTTTTGACCCCTAAAATGATCAATTTTCTTTTTAGCTCGTGCTTATTTTTTATTAAAAATAAATATGAAGAGACTATTTGCTTTTAGTACAAGGATGTTATAACCATTCTCGTTCATCAAATTTCAAATCAAATAGTTGCAAATATAATTGTGACTAAAATCAAAGCACGATAAAAAAATTCTTGAACTTTGTGACACACCCTAAACCATCCAATTCGACATTTAATGACTACGATGAATTGTGACCTCCTTGTATTAAAGATAAATGATATCATAGTATACATTTCTTTTTTATTATCCACCAACTTATGTGCCCTAATTTTAGTTTTCCGACCTTGTTTCACTTGAACTCTATTAAAGCCCTTTAACCCCCATTTGTTAAAAATTGGAAAATTAAAATAGTCAAAATCTAAAATACCCAAAATATCTTTAGAAATTAAAAATCCATAAAATTCGCAAAACCTTAGGGTGCCAAAATTACCTCAGATACCCCTAAAAAACGACAAAACCTCAAACGCCAAACACGAAGAATTAGATTGGGAAAATGGATCAAACCACCCGAGTCAACCTGGATCAGATTGGCCCTTTTCATTTTGGATCATTAGGGATTCCGCTTGCAGGTGCGCTTTTCTTCTCGTCTTAGATAAGCAAGGCGCGGCTAAATTCTCTGCAAGGAACAGTGTTACATCCTCGGATCGGATCTGCCAGCCGACCGATACAGAGAGGGTGGGCATCCATGTAAATGGAGGGCCTAAAAGGGTTCGCTACACCGGCCCGGGACTTCCGAACCTATTGTAAGCGTGTGTCGCGCACTCCAGTAAAACATGGAGGGCCTAAGAGGGTTGGCTACACCTATTGTAAGCGTGTGTCGCGCAGTCCTATAAATCAATTTGTTTGGGTTTCACTTGTCTGGTTCATTGGCCTTTTTATGGTTTGGATTTCAAACTAATACGGAGCACACACACTGCACGAGAACCGAACAAACAACAAGTTGTTTCTTTGTCATGATCTGCAACTGTCATATCTGATAAGAGCAAGACGTGTATGCTGTAAATCTGATCGTGCCCGATTAGCTGGAGTGATCGGATTGTGATCAAAAGAAAAACAAATAAAAGATGATTTATTAAAGTTTTTGTTTTGTTCTTTTTATTTTGTTAGAGTCCTTTCGACTCTTTAAACACGGATTCAACTCTTCATGCATGGACCCCACGACCGACGACAAAATAAATATATCTTATCTATATATATATATATATATACTATACGTACGTACGTACGTACGTACGTAACGTACGTTACGTAACGTTACGTACGTTACGTTAACGT